ATACAAACGATGTGGAAAGCATAAAAGGTATTGAATGTGGGTGCCCTGGAAATGTGTAAAAATGGACTGGTTGTCCAGTGTCTGTAGGTTTGAGGGACATTTTAACGTGGAACCTTCTTGCTAAAATACATGTTGGTCTCTCCTATGCTGCTCCCACCTGCTGCTTGCACTGCCTGCCGCCGATCACTGTTTAGATTGTCAAGGCCTCTCAAACGCTAACACATTCGGCATCCTTGCTGGACCGGTCAAATTGCCGATGAACCTCTCCCATCAGCTTCCGTTGAGAATGATTGTTCTCCACAACTGTCTGATACTAGCTGTTACATCTCTAGCTGGCTGTCACGACAAAACAATCTTCAGCGTAGTCAGGCATGCGAAGATTAGTCTGGGTCTTGGTCGTTCAATGTCTCCTGGGGAATGCTCAAAGCTCTCATCCTGACATGCCTACGATATGCAACTGCGAGACCACTACAGTATGGGGCCAGAAACCTACGTGGCACGTTTGCTGCATCGTTTAGCTTCTCATGTCATCGGGCCATCAGAAATCCTACCCTTCTTGGGGCTTCGTGCTTTTGTGGACTTGTCAATCGATGGAACTAAATGCAGAAGAAACGGTTATCCTGACTGACTGTTGTCCAGCTGAGTATCGTTGTTCTTGCGGCTGAACCAAGTGAGAGTACTATCCCACTGTGCGTTGGGGATAGCATCCCTATCAAAAGTACCACCCACACGCAGCTTGCCGAAGCCAACAGGCCTCACCAGAGAAAGCCTGGTCAACAGGAATGGTGTTCTCACATGGATTGCCAACCTTAGTTGCCGAATTGTTGCTCTTCCGCATGGCTTCTAGGTACGTCATCAGCTGCAACAAATTCTGGCATGCCAGATGCACAAGAAGCAGGGCTCTGAATAGCTGATTCAGCAGAACCCTAACCCTGTGCGGCAGAGTAACACAAAGAGGGACCTCGCCATTGATGGCCCCATCACTGCCACATGTAAACCTGAGGCACTTCTGCACGGGCAGTTCCAAGCAGGTTTACCCCACCTGCGTACACAGCTTGCCTTCTTACAAGCACCGCAGCACGGAGTAGACCTTGACTGGTGCATATTGCTGCTTTCGGGAACCCGCACAACTCCCTCCAACTCACAGAAGGTTGAGGCATGCTTTCGCGGCAGAATTGACATACAACATTTTCGGCTAGGCCACCAGCTTCAGCCACCAGCCACCACTCGAGACACAAACGAACCCTCCTAGAAGTGTCTAAATCCAAATCTGGATCTTGGAGTTGGAACCTCAGACGGCAGGAACCGATAATTATCGAGAGCCGTCCATGGGGAACTAGGCAAAATGGGGCTGAGAGAGAGAGAGAGGGGATGCCATGGTGAGCAACAAAAGGCACGTGTGAACTGCCTTCATCCCCCGACTTTGCCAGCCATAATCAACAACCCTGAGTCCAACCTTGATCCAATGTGTAGCTGTATGTGTTCTTTGCAGTAAACGTCAGCAAGAGAATTTCAAAGCAAGTGCCGACCATGATTCCCATCTGATCTGCTAGTGACTATTGCTAAATTGACATCGCTAAAGCGGCCTCCGTCGCAGGTTTCTTCCAAGAGTGATACTGTATGAAGTCATATGGACAAAGGCGCGAAGGGGGAACGCCATGACCCCCAAGACGCAACACCCTAAACGCTCACCCCGACCGCAAGGTTAAAGCCAAAGAAACTCGCATCCTCTAATGGGATATGTGGTCGGGGGTAAGGGTTATGGTATGCGGGAACAGGATAAGTGACTGACATACGGGATTACATAGGGACTACTATTAAAGGAGTCAAGTACAGCAAAGAAGCTGCGAGCCCCAGCCCAACAATGTCCATCCCTTGGCGCAGGTCACGCCGCAAGTATCCTCGTAAACCTGGGCTTTCTGGACTCAAAGCTCTTTAGGGGCCCCAGAAGGGGACCGTCACGAAGAGGCTTGTCTTTGAGCCAGAGCCCTTTAAGGCCGCTTCAATGATGATGGCCCTCAAACAACACATACCTGCAAGTGTCTTCTGAAAATGAAAACTCAGGCTTTGGGTCTTTAGAAGCTTGGTTTTTGTGTTGCTGTGTTTTTAGATGCTTTCGGACGTGCAGAGCTTAACATCCTGATAGTCGGCTGCACCTGGTCTGAACAGGAACCCATCAGTTGGCTGAAATACTTATTTTGGAGCTATAGAAACGGGGTGTCACCTGCTGAAGCCTGCTGGGCCAGCAGAACCCAGCAAGATACCTGAATTGACCTGAAACTCAGGCAGTGAGGGCTAGGTTCTGCTGCACAGAACCACTAAGAGGGTTAGGCAGTTTGGTGCTGACTCATAGCACACAAAAGACTCAACCCTTCAGCACATAAACCCACACATGAAAACTTGCCAAGATGACCTAGGTGCCATGTTCCGGCAGTTGTGCCGGAATTTGTCATCCAGATTCAAGTCCACGCAGGTGCGCCGCTGGCATGATGGAAGCGTTCCTCATGACCCAGTACTTTGAGGTTGCAAAAGCTTTCAGAACTGGATTTTTCTGCTGAACAATCCATGTCTGGGAAATGTGATTGTGTACAGTAGTCAAGCACTTGGATAATCCAAGCCGGCAGAAACCGTCAGCTGACTGCATATTTCCGCGAGAAAGCTGTATGGGGGAAGACAGCTTTCAATGGCACATGTGACCTGAGCACGCTGTTGCAGAAACTTGATGACACCGACTAAAGACAGGGTGATGAACTGATGATGACACATACTCATGACCAACTGGTTACTGTTGGCACTGTTGGCAAACGAGCATAAGAAGCACAACAGGTGCGCAGATGCCGACTTGACATTGGATTTCAAACAGCACCAAAGCTTATCACATCGCCAAGGCTGCACAGATTACGGCAGAGCCAGCAGAAATGTCTCGAAGATCCTAGTCCCTTGTCATGCCTGGACAATCTCAACCCCTAACTTCCTAAACCTTAAACCCAACTTTCTCCACATCGAAAAACACCAAGGCTACCCCTAAATAGTTCCGGCTCGAAAGACAAAAACCCTCAAAAGAATTCACACATTGTCATGTTGACTATTTGTCCCATTAGTGTAGTCACGGACCCATCTCAAGGACTTGGGTCGATACAGAAAGGCTGATGTCTTTACCCGATCCAGGGCACCACTGAAGTCCCCCGAGGGCAAACACTCGAACTGCTGCGGGCCGCCGGATGCAAAGTCAAAGCCCTGACCAGCCAGTAAAAATTCCCCGATTCGAGGCAAAGCTGATTCTAGTAGTCGCAAGAAACCCCATTCATGTCCGGCTTTCCGGGATTCAACTGCGCAAACCTTGGACTCCGAACTCTCAACACACAAGGCACTGCAATGTCGGCCTCCTCTGTGCAACCTGCTGTGCAAGTTCCGCCTGTCCTCAGTGTCGGAAAGCCACCAAGACATCGGGTATGGGATCATTTCAGGAGTTGTGTTCGCCAAGTACTCACCATAGCAAAACCGTAGTCATACCAAAACTCTGCGGAGAGAGCTAAACTGGAATAGAAGTTAACTAAGTTCGGAGGACTCGTCATCCTAACATGTCCCAGTTCGAAAGGCCTTTGGGGGTACAGGACTTCCAAAGAGGCACATGTGCAAGCCAGCGTCCCCCTGTAAGTTCGGGGGAGGCCACTATTCATTGTTCCAGGATTTTCTCACTCGAGGAAGCTGGCCATCTAGACTTCGATTTTCTGCCTCGGAAGACAGAAGTATCGTTGTGAGGATCTGGAAAGAGGCGATTCAGAAATACGGCTAAATCATCGGAAACAAACTTTTAAGTCAAGGTGCCTCCGGCAGATAGGCGTGGAGCCGCCATTGGTAGCTAGACCCGCATCTTTTGATTAAGGGCTCTTGGTTCATCTTGCATTTGGGTGCAGCACATTGCTGGCAACTTGACCTACTGGATGCACAGACAGGCTCTTGTGCCGGCGTCTGTATAGCAGATACGCAATCATCAACGTATCATCCCGATGCGCTCAAACAAAATAGACTCTCCATTGTCCAGAGTAGATGGCGAGTTCCCAACAGCAAGTGGGGCATGGCCCTTGGAGTGCAAAGGCTTCGTGCTCCCAACACTGACCAAAAGAATTGCCTCAAATTACTGAAAGACCAGCGCAAGCAAACGCCAAGTGTCGTAACATTGGTGCAATTGTGCTGCAAGCCGACCGCACCTGATCACCGGATGGCGGTCACGCAGATTCTGTTCAAGTCAAGGTGAGTCATGGTGTTTGTGCATGATCTCCCCAAATGGCCGCCTCATACATATAATCACCAGTATTCATCCCAGAGCTCGCAGAGCTACTGCAGCACATCAACACCATATAAAGTAACCTACCCCGGGTCCAGTTGGCCCTAGGAACGATCCATGCCATGTTTCTGCTGCCGCGATGCTCGGGACGTTGTAGGAACATTGCCGAGCCGCACAAACTGGCAGGGCGCCTGCAGCTCAGTTAGCTGAACCTGCTCGAACTCTTTACATGCTGCCCGCAAGCTTTTGACTCCAGCTCCTCTGTTAACCAACTGAAATGACAAAGAAGCTGTGTAGGGTAAAGGTCGTAACACTCATGCAGCCATGACGCTGCCGCTCAAGACTCCGTTGTTACAAACCAGAACTGCGGGCGGTCCGATCCTTGGTTGAGCTCGTCACTTATACAGGTCAAAGTTGCCACACGACCTCCCTGACTCTTGCCCTTATGGCTACCCACAGACTCAGTCTCAGAAGCAGACACTTCAACTCAGAAAAGGCTCAACTCCCAGCCCAGGCTACAGTGGGCAATGCAAACCTCGTCGTGGGGCGTGGATGCACAGCCTCAGCTCTTCAGCTGGATCCTAGGCCCTGCGCATAATAAGCCGGAAACATGATTGGACCATGACCTTGGCAAGATCACGAACTTCTGCCATGCGTCTATGCTCGTACTGCGGCACGTCTAGGTCCGCCGCTGTGCCTGAGCAGAGGTACAATGGAGTTCCCGCTGTTAACTCCAGCCCCGACCCGAGAAACATGGAGGGCCGCAACCTGCTGCTTCTTTGTAGGATGATGTGGGGACACTGCTGCACGCATAAATAAGCTGCCAGCGCTGACAACGACGACGACCACGACCACGACGACGGCGGCGGCGACGACGACGACCACGACGACGGCGACGACGACGACCGCGACCACGACACGACCACGACCACGACCACGACGACCTCGACGACCACGACGACTTTCACGACCACAACGACCACAACCACAACAACAACAACAACAACAACAACAACAACAAGAAGAACAAGAGCAAGAACAACAACACGACCACAACCACAACAACAACAACAACAACAACAAGAAGAACAAGAGCAAGAACAACAACAAGAGCAAGAACAAGAACAATAACAATAACAAGAACAACAACAACAACAACAACAACAACACCAACACCAGCAACAGCAACACCACCACCACCACCACCACCACCACCACCACCACCAC